TATTGGACAAACTAGAGTAAAAGTCATGTTATTTGTAATACCCCAAGAGGTATAAAAGGACTTGGTTTTAGACCAAGACAGAATCATCATGTTGATAACAATCTTTTAATTATTGATCTAATAATTAATACTTCTTAACACATTGTAATAATAATATTATTATCGCTAATAAAACACATAACATATTTTAGCCTAAATAATAATCTCTAATTAATTAATAAACCTTTGCTGCCCATAGCAGTTAACCAGTATCTTAACACAAGAGACATCTCAAGGGGACGCCTTTGTGATATAATTACATATATAGAACCTAGGGACCCTTTTATCTAAAAAGATAAAAGTTATATTTTATTAATTTTTGACTGTAAGTCAGCGAGTAGGCTGTGTGTCAATCACTAGAATCAACCATGAGTCAGCGAGGAGGCTGTGTGTTGAACCATAAATACCTATTAAATAGGAAACTCGGATTGCACGCTTGCAACAGTAATAGGAATGTATATCCTAATTATACACTTAAAATATACCTCTGAATTTAATAATTCTTAAAACATACCTATTTTGTAACTTACTTTATATATCCTTAAAACATACTTAATTTGAAATACAAATAATAAAATTATTCTTTTTGCATCTAAAGAATTGACCAATCCAATTTCACTTCTTACTGATAAATGAATATGTATGACTAAATAACTAATGATTTATTTGATTAATTACACAGCAAGGGCATTGGTATTTGACTTTAAGGCTGAGATTATTTTCGGTTTTATTAACAACTTGCTTCAAAAAAATTTTAATGCAGATACATATGACAAAGAAGTTATATATCAAAATTGGTGGTAATTGCTACACAGCAAGGGTATCAAACAAGGGTATGATCAGTGTAAAAAATTGGAGGGGAGGAAGGGGCGAGTCTCACGTTACACTACATATGTGTGACTAAAAATATGTGCAGAAAAAAATATTTACATTAAATTTATTAAATTTGAAACAACTTTTCTTTTAACATTGTTTTATTATGCTTTACATTTTAAATATTATCCAAGAAAATATAATTTAATATTGTTTTAAATTAAGTATTTTGAGATGACTTTCTAACATAATTAATGATGCTTATTTAATAATAATATCTTTTTTTGTAATTTTAATATTGTGCTTTGAACAATTATAATTATTATAAATAAATGTAATTTTTACTATATAGTTAGTTACAAAAAAAAAAATTAAATTTTATTATTATCATTTAAAAATGTCAAATAAAGAAATTTTTAACTCTAAAAAAAAATAAAATGCCTGAAATTATTGAATTATCAGATGATGAAATGAATAATTATGATGAAATTAGAGAATTAGAAATGAAAAGATTATATTATAGAAAAATATTGATAAAGATTGGTTCAGCAAATATACATGGTTAGAATCTGAAGAAAATAATCAAGAAATAATAATTTTTTGCAAACTTTGTAGAAATAGAAATGGAACATCAAAATTTTCAAAGGGTATAAATGTTTTTAGACTAGATAAAATCAAAAAACATTCAAACACCAATGAACATAAAGAATCAGAATTAATGTTACTTAATTCATATCAAACTGAATCTAATAGAGATAATACAGAACAATTAGATAAAAAAAAACCAATTATTCCATTAATTATGAATAATTATTTTTGTTCAAAACATAATATTCCATTAAATGTTTATTCTAATTTGTGTAATTTTGTAATGTTTACTTTTCTTAACGAATAATAGTTTCTCGAACAGTATTTTAATGATTGTAAAAATACAAGTTAATCTTTATTATCTTAATATGATGTCCTTTATATATAAAATTACATAGATTGATAAAATATAAATAATAATATAAGATTGATAAAATATAAATAAAATATAAATAATAATAATCATAAGATTCTTATCAATCTATCCGGAAGATTTTGTGGACATAGATAATAATAATAAATATAATTAAAGACACGAAATACAAATAATAATAATAAATGTGTCACGTTTCTAATGTAAATATTTATGTACCACCCTGATGTTACACATGACTTCGGAGTAATTTGTTACAAATTTAGTGACTTTACAAACTGGAAATAACATTAGTGATAAAATTTCTACTCTAAAGCCAGCTTCCTTAGAAAAACCATCAAAGCCTAAATCAAAATATGGAAGCTATAAAAGTCCTGTTGCTGCATGTGATTTTTTAGATAGTATAGCCTCAGTAATAAAAAATTCCCTTTTTGAAGAATTAAATTCTTCATCTCATTGGAGTATAATGATTGATGAGGCCAATAGTATTGATGGAAATAAACATTTAGCAATTGTGGGAAAATATATTGCTAATAATATGCCAATTATGAGATATTTAGGCTTGATTGATTTAGAGTCAACAGATAGTGAAAATATTTATAATAAAATCAAATTATTTTGTATTTCAAATGAGATATCATTTCAAAATGTAATTCATTTTGGAAGTGATGGTGCCTCTAATATGACTGGGTATAAAAGTGGTGTTGCTGCAAGATTTAAAAAAATGAACCCATTCATATCTTCAAACCATTGTGTATCACATAGACTTCATCTAGCAGGAGAAGATGCTTCAGATGAAGTCATTTATTTTCAAAAATATGAATAAACATTACAAGCATTATATGGATACTTTTCTAGATCACATAAAAGACAAAATATTTTAAAGTTAATGCAGGTGATTAACTATTTTCCAAATTATTAAATATTTGCTTTATTAATTTTTATTTTATTAACTGGCTTTTATTCAAATATTAGGAAATTAATGAAGAGCCACAACTTAAAGTTCTAAGATTATGTGATAAGTGGATATTTTTTAGTGGGAAACTACATGATTATGACTAGGGCCAAGTATTTTTTGTTAAATTCAATAATAAAATAAGAAATTTTTTTATTAACATTTTTTATTTGTGTTAAAGTAATTGTTGTAAACATACAGCTGTTAAATGAACAGTTTAAGGTGTCTTATAAAGAGACCAAATTAATAAAGCTTTAAGTGGTCAAAGGAACTTTTGCCACTTTACATAAATTGTACCATAAAGTGCACTTACAGATTGTCAAAGCTTTCTAAGTACAAAAAAGAGGCAGTAAGCAAGAAAATTGTTAGATAAATTTGTAAAATGACTTAATTGATGAGCATGGAATATAAAAATTTGCAATTAAACAATGAGTGTAGCTCAAAAGTTAATATATATAAATGCTTGAATATAAAATACTAATAATAATAATAATAATTACAACAATAATAGACATGGTAATAGGTCACTTCAATTACAAGGAAGGATTTAGACAAAATATAAGTATCTAATATTTTTTAAAAAAATGATACTAATAAGAGGAGTATAGGGACATTCAGTATGGTATAACTCTTGCAAAACGTATGGTATGGTATTGTATAAGTGTAATAAAATGGTTGTATACCAATGCTTAAATCTAACATACTTCCCTTCACACCCACCAAAAAGGATTTAGAATAAAATTTGTGTGACTTGGTATGGAAAAATATGGGCTATACCATACCATACCATACATTCTGCAAGAGTTATACCATACTGAATCTCTCCCTACCGTAATAAGAGGTGTTTGTACACTTCCTTATAATAATAAAAAGCCTAATGTAAAATTCCCAACAATCAGATGATGTAAACGTTCAATGTTTAAAAGCGAAATAAGTAATTTAATTATTGTAAAATTACAAAGTTATCTTTTATTCACTTAAATTCATGTCCTTTTTATAAGAATACATAAGATTGATAATATAAATAATAATATAAATAAAATATAAACTAATATAAATAATAATATAAACATAATATAAATAATAATATAAATAAAATATAAACTTAATAAACTTATCAATCTATCCGGATGATTATTGGACATAGGTATAAATAGTAATAAGATAAATAGTGTAATTAAAACAACGCGAATAATAAATGTTACAAATAAAATTAATGATGTGTCACGTTATTAAATTGAATGTTACACATACACGAAAGTAATTATATCGCGTTAAATTGTTACAGATGAATAAAATTTATTCATAAATCTAAATATCTAAATCCATTTGATTAGAATCTGTAAATATAATAATTTATACATAAAAAAATAATATTAATGTTGAAATTGATATTTAATTTTAAAACTAATAAATAAATAATGATAATTACCATTCAAATTCATTTGATTAAAATCTATAAATATGATTAATTTAATTAATATTGATATTGATATTGAATTTAAATCAATAATCAAATAATTACCATTATTGATACTATCTAAATCAATTTGATTAGATTCTATAAAATGATTATTATTAATGCTGATATTGAATTTTAAGATTTTAATAATCAAATAATTGATAATTACCATCATTGTTGCTAATAATTGTAACTTTATTGGAGTTTACAGGTTGAGGAAGATTTGCAAAATTCAATAATCTACTTGTATAAATAGCATTTGGATGAACAGTTGTTGTAATTGTTGAAGGATTAAAGGGTTTTTTATCTGCATCCTCAAATATTTTTTTCATCTTTCTCAATTCATCAAGCTGTTCTTTAGAATATTCATACCAATTTGGTTTAATAGCATCTCTCCAAAATTTAATAATTTCCAAAATTTCATTTGCTGTTGGTCTTTTTTCAGGATCAGCATCTGTGCATCTGTATGCTAACTTAATATAACATTCTGGAGTATTATCTGAAAAACTAGGCCTTAGGCCACTACAGATCCTACAAGCAAGATCTAGATCATGTGGTTGATCTTTGAATGGTTGTTGATGTGTTGATGTTTCTGACATTAAAATCCCAAAGCTATAGATGTCAGATTTTTGTGTGTAAGGCTTCTTATTTAAAACTTCTGGTGCAACATATGGAAGTACTCCAAATATACTATTTTTACTTGATGGTTCCTGAGCAGCTAGGCCTGATAACCCTAAATCTGCAATCTTTGCCTGGTTTAAAAATTTAAAATATAAAATATTACCACTGTGAAGATCACAATGCATAAGTCTTTCTTGATGAAACTTGCTTAAACCTGAAATAAGATTATAAAGTATTTTAATTTTATCACCCCATTTTACATGATTTGATTTTATATAATTTTTAAAACTTCCATTATCTGCATATCTTATTACTAAAATATATGCTTTTGTATCTGGATCTTGTGAAATACCAAAAATATTAACAATCTCCTTATGACCAGGTCCCATACATTTAATGTAGTTTTGAACCTTTTGTGAAAATTAATAAAAATTCAATATATTATTTGAAAATCATTAATTGTCAATTATACCCAAATTATTCACCTCTTTTAAAAGTTCTTCAGAAATATTTTGAGTTTTTATTTTTAAACTTTTTTAATGCTACATGACCATCTTTCAAATAATATCTTTTATTATCTAAAATATATTTAGGTCCATTTGACCAGCTACCCTTATATACAATTGCAAAACCACCTTCACCTATTACTTCTTTGATTGTGAGTTGGCCATAAGGAATCCATTCAATGTAATGATAACTACTAAATCCTTTTGCTTCAAGCTGTGTATTTCTAATAATTTCATCTAATTTTTTATCACCACTGCTAGTCCAACTTTGAGCTAACAACTTGGGATCACATGATTGACACCACTGGTAATTAGTATTATATCTTGCACAAACAGAACAGGTTCCATATTCTTCTTTTCTTTCATTAATAATATCTAATTATTTCAATAATAATTTTTTCATTATAAAAAATTAAAAATAAAACAACATTTATTTTTCAACATAATAAAAATAGATATTTGTTCTTAGCAAAATTATAAAAAAGATGAATTTATAATACAATACTTACCATCTGGTTATTATAAAGAAATAAAAAAACAAATTAATTAATTAGATGATGTTTTATTTTGTGTTGTAAAAGATGAATTTATAATACAATACTTACAATCTGGTTATTATAAAGAAATAAAAATAAAATTAATTAATTAGATGATGTTTTATTTTGTGTTGTAAAAGATGATTTATAATACAACACTTACAAGCTGATAATTATAAAGAAATGAAAAAACAAATTAATTAATTAGATGATGTTTATTTTGTGTTGTAAAAGATGAATTTATAATACAACACTTACAAGCTGATAATTATAGAGAAATAAAAAATAAAATTAATTAATTAGATGATGTTTATTTTGTGTTGTAAAAGATGAATTTATAATACAATGCTTACCCCCTGGTTATTATAAAGAAATAAAAAATAAAATTAATTAATTAGATGATGTTTTATTTTGTGTTGTGAAATGAATTTATAATACAATACTTACCCCCTGGTTATTATAAAGAAATAAAAAATAAAATTATTTAATTAGATGTTTTAATAAAAATCATTTAAGTTAATTTTATAATATTTACCACAATAGAATTTAGCTAAACATTATTATAAAGAAAAAATAAGAAAAATGTTAAGATGCAAAGTCCTACTATTATATTTTTAAAAAAGTTATAAGAAAAAATACCTTCATTCATTTTTAGCCATACAAAATTTCAAAAATTTCAATTTTTTTAATTCGTTGATTTTTAATATAAAAAAATTGTGTATCACGCCATGGGGTTAACATCAGTGTTGAAAATTCAATGCCCGCAATGCCCGCGTGTAACATTATACACCAATCAAATTTTTAATTTTTGGAGATAGTTTCTAAATTTGTACTAGTTACACAACGAAATTTCAACACTGGTTAACATAGTAAACTTGTGAAACTTTGAGAACTTTGATGTCCATGGTAACGTGACATATCAACAAAATGAAATAATAGAATTGCAGTGAAAGGTCTTAGCTTTAATTCTATTATTTGTTTTTTTTGGTCATACATTTACATTTTTGGAGAGGATATAGGATCCATAAAGCCAATAAAAAGTTCAGTGACTAAGTGACTTGCACTTAGAAAAATATTTATAATGTAATGTAACATTTTGCCCAAATTAACATAATAATATATATCACTGGATGAATTAAAAAGTTGTATCAAGCAAATTTATTAACTTGGTGATATTTATTTGATATTTCAAAAAAAAAATGAATTTGTGTAATGGACTTCTTTCAAGATGGCTATTAACAAAATCAGTTAACTTAAAGAAAAGAAAATTTTTTTGATTAAAGTTTCATTAATGATTATTAACGGTTTTAATTACACACACACACACACATATATAAATAATATAGCATGCTTCATAGATCTTGCTTTTAACACTTCAATCAACTGCTATATAACTATGAATAATTGATAAACATTCATCAATTATAACGATTTATATTTACATATTTAATAAATAATATTAATAATAAGCACAGATTATAGTTGTAAAAATCAAGGCTTGTTTATTATATTCACTCTCATTAATTCCGATGTATATAAAATCTAAGTGACCGTGTAACAATTTTATATATTAATAATAAGCACAGATTATAATTGTAAAAACCAAGGTTTGTTTGTTATTATTATATTCAATCTCATTAATTCCGATGTATATAAGATCTATATGATCGTGTAACAATTTTATATATTAATAATAAACACAGATTATTGTAAAAAACTAAGGTTTATTTGTTATATTCACTCTCGCTAATTCCGATATATATAAGATCTATATGATCGCATAACAATTTTATATATTAATAATAAGCACAGATTAATTATACTTATAAAAACCAAGATTTTGTTTTTTATATACAAGCTAGTAATAGGCTACTTAACTTTTAAGCATTTCTATTATAGTGTTGCTATGATAGTTTCATTTTATCAATTAATATATAATAAATTAATAACCTATAAATCAGTCTCTTATAATTAAAGTCAAAATTTTTCTAACACAAGTTTTCAAGTAGTTATAAGTGACTTTGTAAGGAACAATTTGGCACAATTGTTGCCGCTGAATTTGTTTTAGTCTGCATACTAGTTGGAAGAAAATCTTAAAATAAGTGTGAAGAAAAGAAACGTTTCCGACCTAGCGTAGAATAACCAATGTTTAAGCTAGCCTTTTCTTTTAACTGTTGTTAAAAGTCCTGGTCTGGCTCTAAAAATTTTGTTATGGTTGAAAATCGCTTGCTATATGAAAAACGGAGAAAATTTTTTTTTGAAGTGGACGCTAATAATTTTATTCGTGTAATGTTTATATTGAATGACAATTGATCTGCAATGTCCCGCGACTAATAAAGAGAGTTTATTGTTCTTTATCAGTAATAATATTAATATCAAATTTCATATCAATATGTTACGGAACTTGAGATCCGAGATCGCCAAAATTTGTCTTATTTTTTATTCTACAAAAGCAATCGTCATTCTGAAAGGTTTAATTTCCTCCATAAATGATGAAATATATTCAGTTCTTGACACTCATGACTTAATAGACCTGCCTTATGAAGAAAGGATCCAAGAAATGGTCGGGTAACATAATTACTAATATTTTTTCTTCTAGCAGGTTCTCAGGTAACAAATGAAACATATAAATAAACTGGATTTATGAGGCATCAATTTTAATCTTATCGATTTTTTTTGAAGGTATGTATTATATAATATCTACACAAATGTTACAAAGTTTCTTTTTACTCTTGAAAATGAAATTCTACTCACTATGGTTTTCCATATTTAGGAAAAACAATATGGCCAATATCATTAGTCTCAATTGTCTTGTCATTCCTAATGGGTCACTTTATAGTCTTTCAGAGCATAGTGTTATTGTGCTTAATATTTCCACTGATGACAAAGTCGACAAGTTAAGGCCTATGATTAAAGAACGGTTGCCATCTTTGTTTGAAAATATTCTTCCTCATAAATTTGTTCTTCACAAAGTTGATAATGTGTATAAGAATATCAAAAGTGAAATTGAATCATACAAAAATGGATATGGAGATGCTGGTAAGCCAATATTTCCATATGATTTAATTTCTAAACATTTTAATAGAGAAACTCTCTATGAAACAATTAATATTATTGTACGATTAGACACACAACCCCCCTATTAGTAATTAATAGTGGGTATGTATTTATTACATTTACAGTATGTGACTGTAATATGATTTTATTTTATTTTTATGTTGTTATTTCAATGACATTTTTTATATATCAATAAAAGTAAGGTTCTATGTAACCATTTGTCTCATTCAGAATTATGTTATGTGGATGTCCATGCTTTATTTTCATCAAAATCACATGTGTTCCAATTTGGAACAGAGATCACTTTGCTAGAAAAAAAATTTTTGAATGTGTCTCAATACTTTGATATAATATGTCATTATACATAAGATATTAATATGTCTTGCAAATCTAGAATTAACAGATGAAAAACTCAAGGTAGATTCACTACAAATCCTATGAATATCAATCTAGACAAATAATATCAATTAAAGAGAGTATTCTCATCAGATCTGGTAAGGCCAATAAATATGCATAGAATTAATTTATTTTTTTTTTAATGCATGTATTACCAGTTTAAGGTTACTTGCCAAAACCTCCTAATGACTGCTGAAACTCTAACAAACAATTAGTGTGTAACCTGCTGAAACTCTACTAATTGTCAAAATTCCTAAATGTGAAACTCTGCCAAAACTCTAACAAACAATTAGTGTGTTACCTGCCGAAACTTTGCCAATTGATTTACAGAGGAGTTTTGGCAAGCAACCATACACCAGTTTGTGTAAAATTCACTGCCAAGGTAAGGAGAATTTTACAAAAAGTAGACATGGTTGTTTAACAATCAGAGAGCCAGCTTCGTTGACACAGGGTGAAATACAAAGATATGGGAGCAAAGGATTTAATTAATTATTCAGAATCTACAACTGTACTTCTTTCTAACTGGTAAAATTAATAACATCTTTCGCAAATTTTGTTACATTTTATTGTGTACATATTTGAATAATTGCCATATAAATATATTCTTCCTACTCATGCTCTGGCATGAAGACAGTAGTGACAATATCATTACTTATTTTTTTTCCTTCTATTAATTTTCTTCATTTTACCATGTCATCAATCATTGCTATAATTTTGATGTTTTTAAAAATCAAGCTATTTATAAAATTTAAGTGTTCACATAAATTGATGAAATTATCAGTTGAACTATGAAGGTTGTCAATTACAATTGGTAACTCAATTGAAAAAATTTGTATCATTTTTCGAAATGGTCCACTTCCTTGTTCCATAGCATGGATGTACATCTTCATGTCTAGTTATAAAAAATAATTAATGTGATATACAATATGCAATAAATATAATAACAATAATAGTTATCATAGAAATGAACTAAAATTATTTTTAAATCATCTAATAACTTAATTATTTGTTTGCTTTTATGAAACTTGTTTAGAAAAAAAAATATATGATTCAACATGTCATTTCCAAACTTTCCCAACTTAGTAAAATCTTCCCTATGTGATCTCAATTGTCTGGTGAAAATGGTCCATATGATATCTGCACAAATAAAAAATTGTAGTTGTGATCATAGAAATCATTTCTTATATAAGAGAACATATCCGGAAATTAATTGGGACCATTGGCTTCAGCATTTCTAAATTTAGTTGATTGAGATGACAAGCCATCCCACTACATTTTGACATTTGGGATGTCCACCAGCAAAAAGGGGGTCTGAGACTATTAAATTGTTCTGTGTTATTATCAAAACAAAATTGGTTACACGAATAGTTTTGATATGTAAAGTAAATATTTCAAATCTTGTATCTCATTATTGTACTAGGTAAACATGTTCTAAATTTTTCACCAACTATAATCCTTATGATATAGATATACATTATGCAAAAAACTCAATTTTGGCCAGGAGTTCTCAGACCCCCATATTGCTGGTGGACATCTCATTTGTATTAATAAAATTAAATTCAACAATACCATTCACCAAATTGTGTGAATAGGTTTCTCTTGTTTAATGATTGATCTTGATTTTTATATGATGATCTTCAAATTTTCTTTCTATAAAATAATCATAAATATAATTATATAACAATACAGTAAGCTTAACTACTGAATTCCCAAATCGATATCTGCTTAAAAAATTGTTTGTGTAAGGAAACCCTTTTTCCTTACGTCAAAATACTATATAATGGTTTTAATTATTAAAAAAAATACAAGTTATACAAGTTATTCTTTATTAATTACGGAAAGCTTATCTTTTTATACAAAAATGCATAATATAATATTACAATTAAATAAATAAAAATAATATCTTAGAACTTCCCGGAAAGCCGCAGCACTTAATTTGTAACTCATATACATAAGAAAATAATATAAATAATAATAATATAAGTAATATAAATAATACATAATATAAATAATAAGTAATATGACGATAATATATATAAATAAAGTTGTAACGTTTCGTTTTAATTTAACGCGTTACGCGAAATAAATTTTGTATTACTGTGCCACATTTCATATTCGCAATTAACGAAAAAGAACTGTTACATTACTCCCCCATTAAAAATCAATGTCCTCATTGATTTAAAAATTCTTGTAAAATTCCATGGCAATTTGTTAAATTTGACTCAGGTTCCCAAGTTGCATCATAAAGGGGGTATCCTTTCCATTTCACAAGATAAAATTTCTTTTTATGTTTTGTTTTCATGTCTAGAATACTTTCAACTTCATATTCATCATTTTCATTTTCATTAGTGTTAATAGGTGGTGGAGGTATTTCTCTTTCAAATTCATCTGTTGTTTTATGTGGTTTAATTAAAGATATGTGAAACACAGGATGAATTTTCATTGTTTTTGGTAAGGTTAACTTGTACACAGTTGGTGAGATGACTTCTTCAATTGGAAATGGACCAATCCATTTTGGATTTAACTTTCTTGTTGCACGATTTTTGTTGATATCATCATTGATATTTGCAGTAGACAGAAGAACTTGATCACCAACATTATAGTTTTCATTTCGACGATGTTGATTTGCATATTTTGTTTGTCGTTCTTGAGCAGCTAATAAAGCATCTTTAGCAGTTTGTAAATTGTTTTTCCAGATTATATACAAATTTTCAGCTGCTTCAACTTTAGTGGTATTACTATCTATAAGTTCCAATGGTGTCATTGGATGTTGTCCATTGTCTAATTCAAAAGGTGTCATTTCAGTTGAAGCTTGTTTGGAATTATTATAAGCGAATTCAGCTGCAGAAAGATGTTCATCCCATTTGTCTTGATGATATGTTGTGTAAGCTCTTAACATTTCCTCCAGAGTGCGATTCATTCTTTCAGTTTGTCCATCTGTTTGAGGGTGGTAGGCTGTAGACATTGATAATTTTGTTCCTAACAATTTGAAAAGAGCCTGCCAAAATCGACTAGTAAATTTTGGATCTCGGTCAGATATAATTACCTTGGGTAATCCATGATGTTTAAAAATGTGATCAAAGAAAATTTTTGCTACATCAGGAGCAGTTGCATCTGTAGTTAAAGGAATAAAATGTGCTCTTTTTGAAAGACGATCCACAAATACTACAATAGCATCATATCCTTTGGAAGTATGAGGTAGTTGGGTGATAAAATCCATTGTTATTTGTTCCCATCGATTATTTGGAGTTGGTAATGTTTGCAAGAGACCTACAGGTTGTTGATTTGTGGCTTTATTTCGTTGACATGATTCACAATATCATCATTGATATTTGCAGTAGACAGAAGAACTTGATCACCAACATTATAGTTTTCATTTCGACGATGTTGATTTGCATATTTTGTTTGTTGTTCTTGAGCAGCTAATAAAGCATCTTTAGCAGTTTGTAAATTGTTTTTCCAGATTATATACAAATTTTCAGCTGCTTCAACTTTAGTGGTATTACTATCTATAAGTTCCAATGGTGACATTGGATGTTGTCCATTGTCTAATTCAAAAGGTGTCATTTCAGTTGAAGCTTGTTTGGAATTATTATAAGCAAATTCAGCTGCAGAAAGATGTTCATCCCATTTGTCTTGATGATATGTTGTGTAAGCTCTTAACATTTCCTCCAGAGTGCGATTCATTCTTTCAGTTTGTCCATCTGTTTGAGGGTGGTAGGCTGTAGACATTGATAATTTTGTTCCTAACAATTTGAAAAGAGCCTGCCAAAATCGACTAGTAAATTTTGGATCTCGGTCAGATATAATTACCTTGGGTAATCCACAATGTTTAAAAATGTGATCAAAGAAAATTTTTGCTACATCAGGAGCAGTTGCATCTGTAGTTAAAGGAATAAAATGTGCTCTTTTTGAAAGACGATCCACAAATACTACAATAGCATCATATCCTTTGGAAGTACGAGGTAGTTGGGTGATAAAATCCATTGCAATTTGTTCCCATCGATTATTTGGAGTTGGTAATGTTTGCAAGAGACCTACAGGTTGTTGATTTGTGGCTTTATTTCGTTGACATGATTCACATGTAGCAACATATTTCTTTACATCTTTGCTCATACGAGGCCAATAATATGTTCGAGTAATTCTTTCATATGTTTTATCACGTCCAAGGTGACCAGAAGTAGGATTGTCATGTGCTTCTTGTAATATCTTAGTAATTATATCTTTTTGTCGTGGTACTACAAGACGTTTTCCTTCATGAAGATATATTTTGTTTCCAACCAATTCATAATTCTTTACTTGTGCTTTTTGTTTGACAGTTGCATTAGGATTATGTAATATGTCCCAAATTGGAGTAAAGTGTTTATCTTCTTGATAACTTTTTGCCAGTTTATCATTTTCAATTAAAGTGGTGGAAATAACAGATATAACAGACAAATATGGTTTTCTTGACAATGCATCAGCTACAACATTTGTCTTTCCTGGACGATATTTTACCTCAAAAGGTGTAGATTGCAAAACTTCAAGCCATCTTGCTTGTCGTTGAGATAAATTAGATTGGCTATGAATATATTCAAGTGAAGCATGATCTGTTATCACTGTAAATTTTTGACTTTCCAAGTATGGTCTCCAGATTTTTATAGCATGTACAATAGCAAGTAACTCCTTTTCATGTACAGGATAATTTTTCTCTGCTGAAGTTAACTTCCTTGATTCATAAGCTATTGGTTGTTCTCCTTTATCTTGGTTCTGACTCAATACAGCACCTATGGCTAGGTCTGAAGCATCTGTTGTTACTGTGAATGGTAATTCTGGATTAGGAATTAACAAGACAGGAGCAGAAGTTAATCGTTTTTTAATTTCTTCAAATGCAACTTGTTGAGATTTTTCCCATACATAAGGTTGATCTTTGTGCAATAATTGAGTAAGAGGAGAGGCAATGGTAGAATAATTCAAGACAAATTTTCTATAGTAATTTGCAAGGCCTAAAAATGATCTTAATTCAGTAAGGTTATTTGGTTCTTTCCAATCTTTAATGGCAGCAACCTTTCTTTCTTCAACAGCAATTCCTTGATCAGAAATATAGTGACCCAAATATTCAACTTTGGTTTGGAATAATTCACACTTGCTAATCTTAGCATAAAGTTTATGTTCTCGAAGAGTGTTCAATACCTGTTGAAGATGTTTGTAATGCTCCTTTTCTGTTTTACTATATACTAAAATGTCATCTAAATACACAACTACAAATTTGTCCAAAAACTCACGGAAAATATCATTCATTAATGTCATAAAAGTTGCAGGTGCATTAGTCAATCCAAAGGGTAATACTAGAAATTCAAAGTGTCCATATCGAGTGCGGAAAGCAGTTTTTGGTATATCCTCCTCACGAATTCTTACTTGATGATAACCTGAGTAAAGATCAATCTTTGTAAAATACTTGGCACCAGTTAGTCGGTCAGTTAAGTCTTCCACACGAGGTAGTGGGTAGCGATTTTTAATGGTGATTTTGTTCAGTGCACGATAATCAACACAGAGTCGAAGAGTTCCTTCTTTCTTGTGTACAAATAGAACAGGTGCACCATAAGGTGAAACACTTGGTTGGATGAATCCTTTCTTTAACAATTCAGTTAATTGGTTCTTTAATTCATTCATTTCCTGATATGTTAGTCTATAGATAGGTCTTGAAGGGGGTTCTGCCCCAGGAACTAAGTCAATGGCATGGTCTACCTTTCTTTTTGGAGGTAATTCATCAGGTAAGCTCTTGGGAAATACATCAGAGAATTCTTTGACAATCTTTTGAGCTTGAGGAGTTAGAACAGGTTCATCCACTTTGTTCATGTTTCCAAGATATACAGCATATAAGTCATTATCATTAGGAATTTTTGCTAGCTGTTGTCGAGAAATATAGATAGATCGACATTCAATTGTATCATTTCGCTTGGTGTCAGCCTTTACTTCCATTTCTTTGTTACCATATTTAAAAACAAGTGTATTAGTTCGCCAATTGATCTGAGGGTTTGCATAATATAACCAGCTCTTTCCCAAAATTTGCATCATAGCGTTGAAGATCAATGACTTGTGCATCTAGGTTCTTGGTTTGATATACTCCTAATTGTAATATTCTCATATTGGCTACCTGATTAGTTTCTTTCTTTCACCCATCAGCTAATTCTATAGTTAAAGGAGTAGTAGTTCTAACAGCTAAATTATTTTCTTTTACAAAATTTTTATCAATGAAATTTCGTGAAGCGCCACTGTCTAAAAGGATCCATGCATCTTTCCCATTGATTTTACCATTGAACCGAAGCAAGCTTTCTTTATTTTCTTCAAGTTGAACTAGTTCCAAATTGTTATTACTAGCAGTGTCTTCTTCAATATTTTTAAGTGTGGAACTTCCTTTCTGTTTGCAGTCTCGTGAGAAATGTCCTAACCTTCCACAATTATAGCATCCTTCCTTTGATGACTTACCTTTGTTATTGTTACTACTATGATTATTATTGTTGTTGCCAGAATACTTATTTCGTTGATAACTAGTACGATTACGATTTCTACTTTCTCCAATGTAATCAAGATCCATTGGTCTTGGTCCTCCATCATCTCTTGGTGGGGGTGGTGGACGATTATAGTTTGTGGTTCGTGACTTATTATTATTCATTGGTTTTCCAATTCCCCACATTGCAGAATCATATCGTACAGCAAGATTTATTGCAGCTTCTAAACTTTGTGGTGCTTGGTATGCTAATTCTTTTCGGGTGTCAGGTTTTAATCCATCTAAATAATGTGCCACTTGGTCCAGGTCTCCCATTCCTTCTATTTGACCAACAACATTTTGGAACTGGGTGGTATAATCTCGGACACTCCCTGTTTGTTTCAATCGTCTCAATTGTTGACGTAAATAAGATTGATAATTTGGAGGTTGGAAAGCAGCTCGCACAGCAGTTTTAAATGCATTCCAATCACCCCATGGTACTCCAGTATTATTTCCATGTTCTGTCATTCGAGCTAGGTACCAATGTAATGCAGCTTCTTTCATTCCAGTACTAGCATAGTAGCAACGAATTGCAACATCATTAATTCCTTGAGCAGCAAAAATTGTTTCAGCTTGCATTAACCATGTAGCTACATTCTCTTTGGTTTCTCCTTTAAAAATCGGAATTTGTACTGCAATCCTAGGTGGTGTATTTCCGCCTTGTTGATTACCAAGTTGTTGAGTGAGTTGTCCTAATGCTGCTATTAATTGATTGAATTGAGTGGCATCCATTGTTGTTACTTGTTGTTCTATATTATTTGTAATAGATTGGTTAGTAAATTGGTTGTTTGATCCTATGACTGGCGTTGTATTTAATTGTGTAGTTGGTTGTTGGACCCTTCTTCTTTGTTGATTTAAAATGTCAGATTCGTCTAATTCTCTTCCTGGTTGTGATGTAGAAATAGTAGAGTTTTCTTCTTGAGAGTTTTCTTCGTCAGAGTCACTGTCAGTGTTGTTTTCCCTAAATATATTATAAAAGTTACTCATACAGAGTTGTTAGAAGTATGTGTGTAAAAGTATGTGTGTAAAAGAGTGTGTGTGTAAAAGTATGTGTGTGTAAAAGTATGTGTGTGTATATAATTTCCGCTGCTACCAACTTGTAAGGAAACCCTTTTTCCTTACGTCAAAATACTATATAATGGTTTTAATTATTAAAAAAATACAAGTTATACAAGTTATTCTTTATTAATTACGGAAAGCTTATCTTTTTATACAAAAATGCATAATATAATATTACAATTAAATAAATAAAAATAATATCTTAGAACTTCCCGGAAAGCCGCAGCACTTAATTTGTAACTCATATACATAAGAAAATAATATAAATAATAATAATATAAGTAATATAAATAATACATAATATAAATAATAAGTAATATGACGATAATATATATAAATAAAGTTGTAACGTTTCGTTTTAATTTAACGCGTTACGCGAAATAAATTTTGTATTACTGTGCCACATTTCATATTCGCAATTAACGAAAAAGAACTGTTACAGATAAATACAAATTAATGATTAATATATTTTCCAATTAAAATAAATTTCTTGTATTAAATTAATAATTACCATTAAATCCCAAGTATCAGCTTTAGTATCATATAATGTAAGCTTTTTTCAAATAAATAATAAATTAATAACTACACATTTTTTATTATTTATTATAGTTATTATTTATTACCTTATTCATGGGAACTGCAATTAGATCCTTTGTAGTAATAGAGTAATCTCTTCCACCAATAAAAACAATTACTCCATTAGCAATCAATACAGCAGCATGGTCAATTCTAGGAGGTGGAATATTTAGGCCAGTTTTTCCAATTTTACTCCAGGATAAATTATTTCCATCCAGAATAAAAAAATCATTAAAAAAAATACCAGTAGTAACATTCATATCATTTACTCCACCATGAATATATAATTTGCCAGTCAATGGATCACTAACACTTGCAAATCCTCTACGTGTTTCAGGTGCAGTTCCTTGAAAAGCAGGTAGGTTTACTAACCATTGGTTGCTTTTAAAATCATCGGTGTAAACCACACTTTTCAAATTATATTCACCAGTTACAGTATCATACATACGACCACCAAATAAAAATATTGTATCATTATTAGTGTTGGAACTAGCTTTAGCCCATGATGCAAATACTGGCAATGGTGAAGTTTCAGTTAAATCCTTCCATGGTGGAGTTGTTGTATCAAATGTTTGTGACAAATCAAGAGAAAAAAAATCCTTTGATGCTTGATCATTAGAGTCACCACCACCCATAACATATAAATTATTGTTAACAATAACAGCAGCATGTACATATCTTGGGTCAGTTGGAGTTGAACTTACCACCAAAAATAAGCATTTGAGCAAGATTAAAAATATTAAAAAGATGTTCATTATGTTTAATTAGATTGATTCAACTATAAAATTAGAAAAAAAAAAAGACCACATTTTTATTGACTGTTATATACTGTATATTCAAAATAAAATTTTTAATTTGTAAAATAGTAGTAACAAACGAATTCGTTAATTTAACTAAATTTGTTGGATTTTCATCATAATATGTGGTGTTTTGTTTATGAAATCGCATTTCAAGTGTAGAACTGGAATTTTCCTTTCTTCCTCAGCTACATTCACTAAAAGGGATGCTAGAAAAGCATAGGGTGCAGGGATCTGCAAAATTCGCCTGTCCCCTGTGCTTTTCATGATTTTTCGCATATTAATATCGCCTATGCCACTCGCCTGTCCTTTTCTAGATTTGATTATGATGGTGAAAAGCACAGGGGACGGGGACCTGCAAAAAAAATTTTTTGATGGCGGTTTTTTATTTTTTTTTTTTGATATACTATTAATACATAAAATAAATAATAATTTATACACAATAATTTATTTTTTTTATTTTTTCTAATTCTACTACTACAATGAACTATAGAGGTGTCAATTTTAGGTCTAGTGAAATATAATATATTATCATGTAATAAAATAGTTGCGAGTTGCAATGAATTAATTAATTGTTATATTTTTTATTATATGAATCAGGTTCAGACTCCTTTTGAATTGTTTCATCATCTTCACCTTCATTGTTAGTATTGTAATATTGGTGACCTTTATCCCAAAAATATTCAATTACTAGAAAAAATGCATGATATATTAAAGTCATTTGATAAGTGACAGGAAAATCATGTATTTTTTATAGAAATTTTATTCCTGAAAGAGTTTCTTCATTTAGAATTTTTACATTATATCTGTTTAATTTTTCCAGTAAAGTTTCTGCAAATAGATGTTGTTATTTATTTGTTTATTAATTATTTTATTGATTATTTATTAATTAATTAATCATTCTAATACTAACTTGCTTTGTTATTAGAATAAATAGAGTGACTATTAGAATCCTTTAATCTATAAGCAACCAATGCAGTTTGTGGTTTATTTCCTGATCAGGAAGTCAAACCTTTCGATTCTAATACTGCCATTCCTTCATTTAAGTCATCATATTTATAAACACCACTTTGATCATTAAAGCTTCAAATTACTTCATTGTAAAAATGCTGTCAATATATATTCTATAGGAATGTTATTTTCTTCATAACAAAACTGAAAAGGGAAGTCTAATTGATGAGATGAATTATAATTTTGACCATCTCTTTGAGTTATTTCAAATATTAAGGTATGTGGTCAAAAGATTATATATTCTTCATAGGATATTTCTTGATTAATACATTGATAAAGATTTGCATGGTTATAAGGACAAGGTTGATCTGGAATATTTTATTAATTAGTTGATTCTTTTCTGCAAATAACGTAGAGACTTGACCTATTAGATTTGGATTATCTTCAAAAAAAGAGCTACCAAATTCATCATTTCCATTTATTGGAAATAGTGGTTTAATAGGTGTTGGAGCAATTTTGACATGGCCAGATTTACATGACCATATTCGTAATCCAAGGACACAAAATTGTGACATAAGCTTTGTTGATTCTTTTTCTTCTAAAGTAACATTTTCAAACCAATGAGTTAATGATCCAAATTGGTTATCTTCTTGCCATTTTTTTTCTAGAACATGGTGATGAACAATTTCACAAGCTTCATTAAAAGTAGATTTTACATTTTTAGTTCCTGGAGTATTGACAGTGTCTCAAATGGTAAAACCTGTATATAATTTTTTTAGTCCAGAGTTACTTGGGATTACCCCAATGCAGATAGGGTTGATACTTTTTTGGAAGTTCGATTGTTTTCTGTTTCTGTTATTTTTTATTAGGAACATTTAAATCTTCATTATCTTTATCAATGTTCTTAGAAGACTAGTTTTTCAAAAGAACCTCAGTAGTATCTGGTGGTCTACGATTATTTACACCAGCACCTTTGGATCTTTTTCCCCTGGATGGTTTGGTGGTGCCATATAATCCAGCAACTTTTTTCCATTGTTCTTCTTCACCATACTTCAAAGAATGGCCTTTACTTTTATTCTTATAATCTACCTCCAAGGACATCACAAACAACAAGAGATTTTCAAGACCTAATTGAAATAAATTTAAGATAAATATTTATTTGGAATATCAATTAATTAATTAAGTTTTATTAAATACCTGTTATTGGATTGATTTGTAGCTCCACACATATAGTATTGAGAATGCATTGATTCTTGGACATTAGTTGAACCTGGTAATTTTTTGTATAAACCTTCATCCATAGTACTTAATGCAAGGAAAATGATTTTAACTGCATTGGTCTATTCCAGCCAGGTAATGGAATTTGGCCAATTTTCTTGTATCTCCAACTTTTTCAAAAAAATTTTCAAAATTGATTTTTAAGAGCTTTAATGTCATTGATTGAAATGTTGTTGAATCTTCATGTTTTATGATTGCATTATTTCATGCAATTCTTGTTACAAATTGTTTGTAATGCTCCTGACATCCTTTAAGAAGGCCAGTGCTTCTTTTCCAATATAGTTTTATGTGAATCTAAGAGAACTTTAGAATACAAAGATACTTGATTTTTTCCAATTTATGCCCAATGAATGTATCAATGAATTCTCTTTTTCCAGCCATGCTAAAATCTATAACTTGTGCATAAAAATTGTCACAATTTTTGGTTTCACTTTCACAATATTCATCAATCCATTGAAATAAGTATTTAAAGTGCTCTTTACAGTGGACTTTTTCCTCCCTTAAAATTACTGTTATCAGAATTGGTATCCATCTTTCAAGAAGAGGGCAATATAAAGAACTATTGTTCAAATTAAAATAAATGAGCAATGAATAATAAAGTCGGTTTTATTAAAATCTTTCAATTCAAAAATTTTTATGCACCTGGACAACAAAAAAGCATTTGAAAAATATTTGTAAGTGCTATCTGTAATAATGCCTGGAATAAGGTTGCTTGCCAAAACTCATCCAGAAATCAATCAGCAGGGTTTCGGCAGGTTACACGTTAATTGTTTATTAGAGTTTCGGCAGAGTTTCGCATTTTGAGGTTTCGCCATTTCGGCATAGTTTCAACAGGATTTTTGATAAGATTTAATATATTTTTGCCGTGGTTTCAGCAATTACTAAGGAGGTTTCGCCCACAACCTTAGCCTGGAAAGTTATTCATTGAAAAGCCTTGTTGTTGCATCCAATCTGACTGTAACATAATTACACCTTTGTTGGTAAAATTAGCCTTTCTAATAAAATTTGGATGGTCTTGTTGAAATTGTAAAATGTCCAAGATGAAATTGTCTCCATGTCGGTGAGCTGTTTTGTTGATGATGTTTTCTTCATTGATTATTTGTCAACAATAATAAGCAATTCCATCAGTGTTTGAAAATGCTTCGGATATTTTTTTAACTGAAGCAAGTGGGTTGTTATTATCCAAGGATTGTCTCGCATTTTTTTGGGCAAGGTTTCAGGTGCTGCAGAGACATGTTTTTTTAATTGATCTTTTTCTTGATTAAATGGCTTATTTTGCAAACATTTGTAATGACTATGATGCCCATAGTGTAATAAATAATAACTAAAGCCGTTTTCGTCAGGTTCTTCTAATGTGATGAATTTACAACTCACAATACACTGGATCTATTGTAAAGAACCTAAAAATGAATCAAAAAATATGAAATACATTATTATTTAAGTTATATTTAAAATCTATATTTAATTAATAAATTAATATATATACCATCACATGTAGGTACTGGGCAACCTTTATCAAGTTGCTCTTCTACTCTTTTCCCATGTTTTTTGTTTTTTGGTCTAGTTTGAGCATTACATTGTTCGCATTGAATTGTACCAAAACATTTTTTAACATTAATTTGAGCATTATATGTGGGTCTGTTTTTTTTTGATTCAACACTATTTAAAGCCCAACCAATCTGAATCCAATCTCTTGGTTTCTCTTTATATTTATAAATAGTGTTTCCACAAGGCCAATGTGGATAATTTTCACCTAAAAAAAATTATATAATACAATAAGATTTAGTCAAATTGTATATAATTAGATTACCATTATCTTGATTTGAGTAGAAAATGTGCCAGAATCTATAGTTATTTAATTGAATGTATAATTTTTTGAGTAATTGAAATAAGCAAAAGATTATGTATATATGATGCATACCTTCTTCACAGATAGAATCTTCAAATTTTTTGGTGATTTGTTCATTTTAAATTAAAAAATTGAAGTTTCTGAGTAGTGTTGTTTAATAATAATAATATAATAATAAAAGTTAAGGTTTGGGTTTGAATTCAAAAAAAAAATTTCCGCGTAACTAATTTTTTTTTTTCCGGTCGCGTTTACTTCGTCGAAAATTATTTCGTCGACAATCATTTCGTCGACACCCATTTCGTCGAAAGTTCGTTTTGTCGAAAGTTCGTTTCATCTAATGTTCGTTTCATCTAATGTTCATTTCGTCGAAAATTATTTCATCCTCGAGCCAAAGACCGAACGAATTAGATGTGAGGAGTGTGGGAAGTTAGTTAAAAAATTAGGTGAGGAAAGCGGAGTGTGTGGGAAGTGTGAGGAGAAATTTGTTTAATGAAGTTTTTTTTTTGCGACGAAACAAACTTTCGACGAAATGGGTGTCGACGAAATGAGTCAGACCCCTACTTCACAACACATTTGCTAAAACAAGCTACAAGTTATTATAATTTTTTTGTGAAGTTAATATATAATTTACGTAATTAACAAGTTTAGAATGTCTGATCAATGTAAACTGAAAAACTGAAAAACCAAACCGAAACATTTGAAGCTTTAAACATAATGCAATCCAACTTAAAGTTTTTATTTTATAATGAATTAGTAAAGATGTTTTGTTTTTCTATTTCCTTTTCATCAACAAATCAACTTTTATATAATTATATATTTAATCAAATATAATTCAATCAATTGATAATAAGAATGGTAAGAATAATTCTAAAAAAAAAAATTAATATATTATTATTATTAATTAATTAAAATCTTTTGTACGGTGCACGCCACTATAACCCATCAAATGCTGCGCAAAATGTTTCAAATTCACAAAAAACTTTGAATTTTTTTTATTACTTTCATTACAAATTTGATTTGAGGTAACATGGCACGATTAAAGATGTCGATCAAAAATATTATTAGTTTAATTCATCTAATTCATCTATCACATTGTCTGGAGTCCTTTTATGTGACTTATATTTTTTTACAATATATTCGGCCTGTAGTACTGTTAATCCTTTCCTGTAGCAATCCTTAAATCTTGAGGCTCTCACCACATACTTACTAATTTTGTTTCAGTGATATAGAATCAAAAGCATTGGGGACATTCTCTTGAGGACTTTTCCATGTGTAATTAAAATGTTGCCTAACATATCATTTAGCAGCCCCCAAATACATTTCAATATAGTTCAGCTCACAGTGAAACTTTGGATAGAAGATGACTTTATGTTCTTTCTTCAATTAATTCTTGAAGTAAGGGTTTTTGGTTTTTAAAATCATCTTGGGTTGCTAAGATATGTCTAGCACAACAAGTCAAAGCTCCTTCAAGAGAAACTTCAAACAAAAAACTTGAATGTGATTATTTTATATTCATAAATTCAATGCAATTATTATTATAAAAAAACGCGTGAAATTTTTTAAGATTTTTTGTTTAATTTTATGGATGAATTATATCGCATGATTTACCAGAATTAAAAAAAATATTTTTATGTGTGACTTGAGGTGGGCCAAAATTACATGTTTTCAAATTTGGAAAATTTTATATAACATATAAAAATTACATGATTTTCAAAAGCTTATAACTCCTGAACCAATAATTATTTTTTAATTGTCTTGACAATAGATTGTGAAACTAGTCAAAAGCTAACAAATATCGTCTCAATTAATTTTTTGATAAGCACACAATATTTTCTTTTTTAGGCTTTAAAGTTGGACAATTTTTATTTGATGGGTTATTGTGGCATGTACTATACTGATAAAGAAAATTCAATAGAAAAAATCAATTTATTATTGTTATTAATTTTGAGGAGGTAGTTGTGGGCCATCATATTGCATGGATTGTTGTATGGATGAATTTGTTACTAATGGGTATTTTATTACTGAACCTCATGATATTATATTATTACCATCATTATCATTATAAATTTCTTGATTTGTTGTAGACATATTGGTGTGTGTTTGATTTATTGGAGTATTATTTAAATCTGGATTACTTTTCTCTAATCCTGGTTGTAAATTTGGATCCATAGTATTAGAAAGTTATTGTAAATTTGAAGTTGGAGGAGGTGATTGATTAGCATAATTTCCCAACATTAATTGTCGCTGTAGTAAATGCTGTTGTAATGTTCGAAGTTGTTGTGGCTGCTGCTGTTGTTGCAATAATTGTAATTGCTGTTGTTGAGCCAAATCAGGTGGACTATTTTGAGAAGAAGAAGAAGAAGGGGGAGGAGAAGGAGGAGAAGGAGAAGATATCATTTGTATGCTATGAGCTGATGATGAAGCATCCTTAATTGATGATAATTCTTG